TACATGTATATTACACAGTGCACTGTGAATATACATGTACTAGCAACAAGTATTGTAACTGAAGAATGTTGAACGGAGCACATTAGATTATTTTCAAATGAAAAACTAAACTTCGTGTCAACAGTGTCACTAGAACTGGAAATGTTTCTGTCTGTACGTAACATACATTCACAGTTTCCACACAGCTGACTGTGGTTACTCATGAACACACATAACTTACTTATTTATATCCAAACATCAGGGCTGAAGTTCAACTGTGACAAAAAGGTCAAAGAACAAACATCCAGTCTGTCTGAAATGTGATCTGAAGTTAACATGAAGCTGCAGAGGATTCATTAACACGTCTGTCTGTCTCTCTGTCTCTCTGACTGTCTGTCTGTCTGTCTGTCTGTATGTGTGTCTGTCTCTCTGTCTGTGTGGAGGATCGACCAGCAGTGGCAGTATCGTATCTACTGTAAAACACTGAAGACGGAGGAACTCAACCTTCTGCATCGTTACCTGGAGAGATCTACACTGACTGGTGTACAGGTGAACACAGGTAAATACTGCAGGTAAATACTGTCAAACACAGGTAAATACTACAGGTAAATACTGCAGGTAAATACTGTCAAACACAGGTAAATACTACAGGTAAATACTGCAGGTAAATACTGCCGCACACAGTTAAATACTACGGTATATTGCTGATTATATTGCTGTGTATCTGTTGTTGTTGTTTTTTGTTGTTGTTTATCAGAAGCAGAGCAGCAGGATCAGAAAGATCCTGAAGAGAGCAAACTGATCTTCCAGCTGGATGGAGATCAGTGGACGGTGAGCTGCTGGTTCAACATTCTAACGTTGATGTGAAAGAAGATAACTGGTGATGAGTGAATATGGTTGCAGGACTTCCCCAGAGAGCTGCAGTGGATGACCTACCTGAGAGAGTGGCACGTCAGCGGGACAAAGATCAGCCGGCTGCCGGAGTACCTGGCTCTGTTCACCCAGCTCACCGTGCTGGAGATCCCCAAGAACACCATCGCAGAGCTGCCCCCGGAGATCGGTGAGTACTCATACCACACAAACATCAAGTAAACAAACCCCACCGACATCAAGTACACAAACCACACAAACATCAAGTACACAAACCACAA